CAGTCAGTCCCTTAACTGTCATGACTGTGATGGCTCCAGAGAGCAAGCTCCTCTTCCTGCCCACATGCTAGAAAACTTGCCCAAGACACAAGATTTCCAGTTTTCATAAAGTTGAAATGTATTCTCATAGAACAGTGTGTGTGTGTGCGCGTGTGTGAATCTAATTTATACGGTGTCACAAGTGAAGTAACAGAAGGATGAAGAACTGCCTTTCTGTGACTCAGAGCATTATAAAACTGAGACAGGCAAGCTTCTGGTCACAAATTCTTTGGCGAAGTGCGTCTTCTCAGAAGTCCTGACCCTCGGAGGACCTTTTAAAATGAACTGTAACATCCAGAACCATGTGGATCTTTTGCATGGGAGCTGCTTTTTTCACTGAGAGAGAGCTCATCCAACTCATGGCTACAGGGCTCCTCTTATTCGCTCGGCCTTAGTTTTCTCGTCTGGAAGTCCCAGCTAATTAGCCAAAGAGCTAGTGCAGCAAGCCCATGGCCGCATGGACGCATGGCTAGCTCTCAGGCAAGAATCTGGCCTCTAAGACCATCTGTGGGCTTCAACTAGTCACTTTAGCCATTTTTCCTCACTTTGTCTTTGTTGTGTTGCCTTCAGAACTCTGGATATACGCACTTGTCCACCCTAGCTTCTCATTTAATAGGCTTCTTACACCCCTCTAAATCTGACTTAATGAAATTCCACAGTTCCTTAAGATATCGAGCAAAGACTGATTTATTTGATGGTCTGTAATGCCGCCGCAAACACGATGCACTTCAAATAACATGGCCAGTGTAGGTTTATGTGCATAAGGTATTTATTTTTGGTAAAAGTTTTCATTCGTTGGCATTCACCCGGCGGTTGTAGATTTATTGAGCGAATCACAGGGAGAGACAAACAGCTCCCCCATGACTCGTCCTTTGGCACATCGCTCCTGAACAAAAAGTCTCCATTTGTGGCCTTTCAGCCAGTAGGAGCACACCTTGTCAAAATTTTTGTCCCACTGTTTTTACTTTTTTTTTTTTTTGCTGCCTTCATTGTGTGAGATTTCTGTGAGATGGTTGACTATAGACCCAGTGCATCTGTAATGATCATACCATACTCAGATCATTCCAACCTTTAGCTGAATCTAACCTGGGCTTTTCAGCTCTGTCTTGCTCTATCTAATGTCTTATTCATCCATATGGGACCACAAGCATACCTATATACCTTGCTTAAAAGCACATAAAAGCAGAGGTTTTATGGGGAGTAAAAACAGAGCGAAAGCCTTAAAGCTGATGGAATAAATATCAGGCAGTTTCACTGTACTTAGCTTTTATGCTGTTAATGAAATTCCACCCTTAAAAACAGTAACTGTGTTTTTTTTCAGAGAAAAAGAAAAAAAAACAAGTCATGCTGCTGCGGTTCAGAAACCCATGTCTGCACCCAGTCTCCCGTAAGCAAAGTCATGTTCTCCGATTTTTGTTTACATCAGTGTAAGAGGAAACCAGATCTCCACTGTATGCACATTTTCACCATTTTCAGAGTCACCAGTTGGTTTAAAGTGCTCATCTTTCTGAGGATTTCTAATGTAATTTCTCCTGAGGTAGTTCCCCTCACCTACTCCTTTATGTCCTCTCTACCCTACAGTTAACCATCTGGGAGGGCGGCACATGGCAGAAGGTGTGTTGATAAATGCAGAGTTACATAATCCAGACCTGGGAAGGAAAAAACTGACAGACAGACGGACGTACAGAGCAAGGGGCAGACATACCCGCTTTTCCTTGACGCTCCACCAAGACAGGTAAGATGGACTTTTTGGGCCACCAGTGCCCCCAAGTGGCCTAAGGAAGCATTTAAAAACAAGCAGGAAAGAAAAAAAACTAATTTTTACCCTTTCAAACATTACATGGCTGCTGATATTGTGCCTTTTCTCTTTATGTAAATGAAAAACCAGGAGACATAAGAACTCATGTATCTAAATAGGCCGATATATAGATGGTATTTTATCTTTCTTTCGTTCTTTTTTTGCTGTTAAGTGCGCTGCATGCTGACACAATAAACCACAAAGCAAGGACAAGATTTACAAATGAGTCCCCGGCCCTCCCTCTCTCCTGGCCCCTGCCAAAACCTGGCCCTCGCCCTGCTCAGCCATCATAGCCCTTATGAATCACAGGCACAGGAACGAGACCAAGACAAGGACTTACCAGCACTCGTGTCTGGCCCTCGTCTCCCTCTTTTCACTCTCTCTCTCTCCGTCTCTCCTCTTGCAGTCACTGCGTTTTTTTTCCCACCCTCTCTCCCCGCATCCAGCTGTCTAGCTGCGTCAGATGATAAATCCTCAGGCGAGCATTTAAGCACCAGCGGAGAAGAACCTGCCCAGGTTCCACTCCAGTCGTGTTGGCACGCGTACACAGAAAGTCAACACGCTGCAGGCCAGGGTGACCCTCCCCTCTCCTCTGCCCTTTCCACTCACCTGCAAGCACATTTTTCTTTATCTCTGTCTCATTTCATTTGGCTCAGTTAAATTATTCCATCAGCGTAACTTTCCATCATTAGGCGGCAGTGAACAAAAGTCCCATCGAAACGCAAGATTATTCCAAAATTCAGTGTTTATAGGATAAAGGATGCATCAATTTTTAAAGTCTGGGAGAGTCCAATTGTTCATTGATGACTGTGATGGTACTATAACCACATTGGTTTTTCAAAGCGGAGTTGTATGGGAGACGGGGGGGAGTTGAAAGAAAAAGCCGGGAACTTGTACAACATATGCATAAAGTCACACCAAATTAATAGTGCAGCCAGATACAATGTCAGAAGACACAAGATTAAATGTGACCTTGCCTTAGGCCCTGTAAGTCTTCCTTAGACTCCACAGCCAAACACAGACTATAAAAAACTGGGCTTGGGGAGTTCTAAGATTAGTTAGCTCCTAAATTTGCTTGTTCACATCTCATTTCTTCAGAGTCAGCACATCACAAGCTATAACGGGTAAACATGTGTGTAAATTCAGGGAAATCTTAGCTGCGTGTGACATTTTACTAGAAATGCCAGAATTTAGAATGTCCAGAACACATCCTCTTTTCAACAATAGTGGTTTTAAAAAAGTATAGCAGCATTTTTGTAAAGCTGGAATTGAAACGGGTTCGGTTTGGTTTGAGCAATGCTCGCTGACACTAAATGGAAATTTTGTGATACATCTGCCAGAGAAAAGCATAAGCGCTGAAGTGTAGAAGTCTTTACATTATGCAAAAGTATCTAATAGAGATCAAAGTCTAATCTGAAGTTGTGAAAGTCTATTTATTATAGCGTGCCACTGGATATGATCTTTTAGTAATACATCTAACAAATGAAAATTTATCTTTGCTGGAAATCGCATTGTGTGACAGATCGTTTTATGAACACAATGCCCCAAATCTTCAGAACATTATAATACTGGGGAGTAAGTTGTCTCGGAGCCTCTGCTCCTCTGACTACAAATAACCCAACCATTAAACTGGGACTGAGACAAGTCGTCAAGACTCCAGCCTGCTTCACTGGGCCCGAACACAACCGTTTCATTTGTTGAGCCAGCAGGCCAAATCAAGTGGTCTTTATTAAAGTCACTTTGATGGATTCAGCCCAGGCCTCCCCCTCTGTGATCTATCGCCTGTCCAGGCCTTGGAGGTCGTGATGAACTTGCTTAGCACTGAGGTCAGTGCATGCGAGTGGAGCGGGCGTGTGGGTGCTGCTCTATTGAATGGACTTCTGTTGGGGTTTTGTAAATGTTCTGACGGTGGATTTGTCTTCCTTATCGTGAGTTTTCTGTGTTCTGTCTGATTCTGGTTTGTGCTCTTCATATTTTGAGTTATTTGCCTGAGCGGAGATGATTTCTCTGCTTGTGGGACTCTATTTTTTTACTGGTCTTTTTGTCAGGTCTCGTTGACAGTTAGCCTTTGTTGTTGTTTTTCTTAATTCAGCCTGGCCTTGAAAGTGTATTTTTCTAGTTTACTCTGCATCCTCAGTTCCCCTAGCTCCACACTCACCTGATTTTAGTCTGTCTTAGCGGCAGTCATCCACTCATCAGTTCACCACGTCACCTATGCTGCTTGGTTCATTTCAGTCGACGTCTTATTCTCAGTATGTTTTATTCATGATTATCGCTTTAGCTCATTTTCTTGCTTGTCTCATTTTTCACCATCCAGCTTGCGTGTATTGTGTTTTTTTTCTTTTCTTTTTCACAGCTTAGTTTGTGGTTTTCTCTGCCGTGCCGAAGATTTCGGTGTTTAGAAATTGGCTTCCAGTGGAGATGCTTCCTAATTGCTGTCTCTATTTTGGTACTCTTCTGTAATTAACACCAACCGTAACACGTTCAGCTATTATAGGACCATTTTTATAGGCTGCTTGGTTTGTGTGCACCTGTGGTCCACCATTTGTGGTTATCTCTCACATTTAGATATTATCAGACACCCACACACACATATATATATATTTATATATATATATATATATATATGTGTGTGTGTGTGTGTGTGTGTGTGTGTGTGTGTGTGTGTGTGTGTGTGTGTGTGTAATCAAGAAAATGGGATGTGTCACAACACAAAGACAAAGCTGCTAATACCATACATTACACCCATTTTGTAGATGTGTTATATTTGCACACGTGTTTAACTTGCAGCAACAAATATGAATCACAGGCAAGCGATGAGATGTTTAAACGCTCTCTGCCCTCCAGCAAAGGAAGCTCAGGAATTATTGCAGATTATTTCAGATATGGCCATCTGACATCCTCATGAGTCATCCTCCACTTAGTAGCGGCGGCTGTCCCCAGCTTACATCGGCAGATGCAGGTTGCAGTTAGCTGAGGTGCAACCCATCCACTTTCTAATGGGCACCACTGGGATATGTGTTATTGGATGATTCATCAGATCAGCCGTGCAGAGCGGTCCTCGTCTGACTTCCTGAATCCAACATGTGTTTGAAGACGGTGTATTTGACATGCAGGCAAACACCTGGCGCCGGGTCCACAGGCACCTGAGACCAGATATTATTTTATAGTTTATACAAAATCAAAATGGAATTTACAGCTCTGTTTCCAGATGTTGTTACAAATGTTAAAATTTTTTAAGGTAAATCACAGCTGTGGAACTATATGATGTACTGTTACGAGCCAAACGTCGCACAAATAAAGTTTTATGAGAGGTGTGTGTGGAAAGAACTGAAGATATTTCATTCTGAGAAGCCCTTTGGGATATACAGCAAAGGGCAAAAACTGCTATGCTCACTATTCTTTATGGTTGTTTTGTTTTATGAACGTGTTAAGCCATTGAAGTGTGCTACATCTTCAGCAGCGTGTGCGCAGTTACACCTTTAGATGCTTTAAAACGGTCACACAAATGTAAAAAGTCCACTATAAAAAAAAATCAAAAGTTTATGAAACATTCAATGTCAACCCTGTAAAACTTACCTTTTTTTCTTTAAATCACATCACTAATGGCATTTTTGACATTTTCTAAAAGAATATCTTACAACAAATAAACATTAAGTAGGCTTTTCAGATCTTAAAGGTCTCACAAAATTTCAGCTTGGGTATTACATGAACATTTGGCATATCTGTTGAAAAAACAGGTTTAGTTTCATAGTCTTTTTTAAAACAAAACAAAAATTCAATCAATATTTTAACACAATTGAAGAAAATATAAAGTCCTCATTTAAAAATTCTGTAGTCCTCTAGGAATGTCCAAAATGTTTAAATCAGAGATTATTAATAGTAATTCCATGTAAATTTAAAGCAATGTGTATTTGAAAAAAAAAACATTATTTTCATTGTGGCAATGGTAATACCATTGGCTATGACAATTCTCAACATGTAGCCTGGAATACAGAGCGTCCTGACATGGAGGGTTCGCTGTCTTCTGATATTCTTTGTCCTTTTTACACATGATCCTCAAAGCATCCATTTAAGATGTCCAGAAGCTGAAACTGGCAGCTCGGCTCAGGGTGTCCTTCAAAAAAGCGCCTGGATTGCAGTACGGTCTGAAAAGTGATTTACAGTAAGAATATTTTCTTACCATCATTTCTTCCTTTTGATTCGTAAGCCCTTAAACATGAACTTTTAGTGCACAAAAATTCCCAAAAGGAGATAAAAAATGAGTGTTTAGAACAAGATGTCAGAGGTATCTGTCAAGCTGAACCTTTGCCTTTGGACTCAAAAACAAACCATCTTTCCTCTTGGCTTCTTCTTTTACATTTTTTTTTTTAATAACGAGACATTCAGATTAGATTGTCGTCGTATTGGATGATTCTTTTCCCCAAAGTCAACCTTCTCCCGTGCACGCTTTGTTCCATAGATGTAGATGGACGGGCAGCTTGTAATCCGCCCTCAGAAGTGAGCGGGGCGCACCATCATCGTCGTCGTAGTAGCCATCAGATTCGGACCTTTCCAGTAGTACCACTTGATGCCGTTGTAGCGAACCACGCTGGAGGAGGCGGGGTAATATATGCCGTTGAGGTTGGAGGGCCCACACGCATCAAACCACCAACCTGCAGAGCGAGAGCGTCGGACAGTTCAAGGAAAAAAAAAACGTCAAGATCGGGTGAGCGCGATCTCGTGAAACGCAACACCCATAAGTACAGCTGTGAGGTGGCAGTAACGTTATATTGGGACGGAGGGGGAAATGAAAAGCTCGGCGGGACGTTTACGAGGGCGCGGGCTGAAATGTTAAACTAGGCGGGTTACGGGGAGGGACAGAGCGACATATATCTGCAGCAGAGCGGCAGTGATGGCGAGTACCTCCAGACGCGAGCTGCGCACACTTGCAGGTGCAGCGGTCATTGTCTCTGTCCTTGGTGCTGAACTGGCTCCCGGTGTGGGTGAGGCTGCTGGTGCGGCCGGCGGTCCCGCTAAACCCCTCCGCATGCAGGCTGGATTTCAGAAAGAAGGAAAAAGTAAAGGGCGTGCCTTTAGCAAACAGCCAGAGATGCTTGGGAACCACTTAGGAATATGGTCAATTGGCACATGAATACTCTGTCTTTATGAGGAATTGTTAAATTTTTTACATATTGTTTGAGTTGACACCCTCTGTAGGTATATTTGACCATAGAATTTGATATGGTCAAACCAAGCAAATAGCACACAATTCTGGCACAATGAAATTCTCCTCTCTTATTTGCCCTGGTTTCTCATCTCTTCCCAATGTGAATTCAAGCAACTGCTTTCACAAAGATGTTAAAGATTAATATTTTAGAAATAAATAACTAAAGTTATGCTTTTTATAAGAAATACAAAAAAACATAGTTGGATATCACATCTTTTTTTTTCTTTTTTTCCCTGCCCACTGAGTAGAAGCTTTTCTTGGTTGTGATTGTTGCTAAACATCAGTGTGAGGAAACAACCAAAAACACTCATTATTTTCCTTCCATACTGTGCTTTGAGAAAGAAACCCAGTTTGAGAAAAGTTCCTGCCCATGTTGCATTCTTTCTTTCAAACAAAGCAGTGGCTGAGTGTGTGTTGGTGCGCTGCTCAGAAGAGTGTGAACAAAGAGGTCGGTCCTGCTGCACGGTCTCTCCTCTGCCCTCTCATTCTGTTTAGTAAGTGCGCGGCTCTCCCCAGAGCTATCTGACTGCCCTCCTCCTCTGCAGCCTGGGGCACGCCGTCTTTGATGACTAAATGAAAGATCCCTCTCTCGAGTGCGGAGGTTCACAGTGCAGGACAACACATCGTGCTCACACAGAAATCCAGGTGCTGGAAATGTCCCAATCCGCTACAGAGCCTTAGCTCTCTACTTTTATTCCCCCCATTGATTAAACAGACCGACAGAGATAAATATTTTTGTGTATTTTTGATGAAAAAACAAAACAAAAAAGCGACTTGCTTTCTTCATTTTGGGCTATTACATTAAGGAAAATAACCAAGGGAAAACCCACCTCGACACAGGTGAAGAAAAACCTCTCAAGCCCAAACCAATCCAACATCCTGCTGCCCACATCTATCCATCAACTCTCAGTGACTATTTTATACCATTGAAGATTAAACAGAGATCCACAGTATTTATTAGAAAGATCCTGTTCATATCTGACAGAGTGTTTCTCAGAACTGTATCTTTTGATGGAGAACAGAATAAAGAGACCCTCACATCTCTGTGAGTGGCAGGATGAAAGAGGAGGGTTAGAAATGTCAGCACTGGAGACGGGAATATAGGAATGGAATAGACTAGGGAATAGGGTGTTATTTCAGGGATCTCAAGCTTTTTCTTCTCATAATAGATTGGTGATTTGAAGTATATCAGAAACCATTAAATTAGACAGCCCGGTAACCACAGGCCTGCAGGATGTCCTTTAGGAAAGGGTGTACTATGCAGCCCTTAAACATCTGCGTTATCCATGAGATCCAGACATGTCGGCTGAGCTGTTCCACCAGCACCGCAGACCACAGGCTGACTCTTTTCAAGGTGACTGTCGTTTTATATTGTTATTGTATGCATTCATAATAAAGCTAGTGTTACCTGAAGGAATGTTTGCTGCTTCCTTTACTATAAGGACAGCTATTCTTGGCCTCCTTAAAGGACGAGGTGGTCTGCCATGCCGATGATTTATGTATGAATTTTGTGAGCTGAGTTTTAGGTGAAGACCTCCACGCTGCTCTGGGGAGCACACTGGATGCTGATGATGATGAGAATTTCTCTGGCTGACTGGCTGCCGAGCACCATAGCTCCGGCTTGGGAGTTGGGATATAAAACCGCAGGCCAACCCGCCGCTTTCCGCGTGCATGTGAAGCTGGTACATATTAAATCAGTTAAACCGAATGTGATCTCGGATGAAGTAAGGCACAGAGGTGATTACAATCATTCAGGTGCTACACCTCACACAGAGTAGCCCACGGCAAGATTGTGAAACATTCGGTTTTATCACGCTAATTATCTGGAAGAAACTCGGGTAAATGCAATTTGCCGCACTGTTATGGATACTGGAAGCACAGGCCCACATGTGATTATGATTTGTCATCACTCACATCATCAACCTCTTTAAACCTGCACTAAATGAGGGCAGATTCCTGCGACGTGATGTCGAATCTAAATTGAACCCTTCTGATTCGCGTGTTCTCCCTGCCTTTTTGCGAGCAATCCCTATCTCGGCATGCCCACGCACAATCTTGTTTGTGATCGCTGGGTTTCCGTGCATCCCTGGCGGACCCCTGGGGACGTTGCTCCTCCGTGGGGAATTCCTAGGACGACGGCACTTGCTTGTGATGCTCGTATGAGAAAGAAAAAAAAATGCCGGCATGCTAAGAGCTACCCTATACCTCCCACGTAGCATTTCATCTCATGTAATACCATAAAAAAGGTGAAAGAGACCTTGTTGTAAGAGAGAAAATGAGCTTCAGAAGGAGTTTAAACTACTGCTAACACTTTCTAGGGTGTTGCTGTTGTAAGTTTGCCTGTCATACACGAAGACCTTTAACAAAACACGGGTGATGAAACTGGAAACAAAAAAGTGTTTAACTGTAGCCTGCTGTCACATTTCATCACTTTGGGAACGTAGATAATTTCATCCTTTGCAGATATCTCATGGAGGATTTTCCTCATATCATTCCAAGCTTTAATAAGAATGACACTTTTAAATTAAAGTTCCCTCTCAGGTTACCTGTAGTTCTTGTCCTCTCCGTCTATGGAGAAGCGATCGTAATGTGAAAAGGCCTCACTCCCCTCCCTGTCCTTTAGCTGGACCTGCAGGCTGTATTCCCGGGAGCTGGTCAGCTTGTGGATGATATCATTCCCCAGCCAGTGTTCCCCGGACGGCTCTCCAAAGCCCTGGATTAGAAACAAAGACACAGAAACAATAGGAAAAAGAAAATATTCTAACGAGGTGGATGATTTTTCCAGCAGTCTGCCAAATATTTTGGGGAATTAATATGGAAATAGAGCTCACTTTAAGAAGGCAACATTTATCATTCTGATGGGTTAAGACAGTCCGGTGGGTTTCAAAAGTGAAACATTCCACTTCCAAAGCTAGGGATTAGTCTAGAGAACCATTAATTTACCTTAGTGCTATGTCAATGGTCCATTTGGAACTGTAACACTTGAATGAAATGAAAGCTAGAGTCACAAGACTTTGTGGGGTAATCCACTCTTATGTGAACATAGCTTTTCTACTTGGTTTTGGCAAAGCAAACCGCATAGATGATATATATTTTAATAGAAAGTCAAAGAACTGCAGTGATGAAAGTCATATGCTCAGTTTGCAACTCATGATAATACTTTGAGTATGTGAGACAGATCTGTGGGCTCCTCTTCGCTCTGGTTTCATACATAGAGAGCAGCTTAACCGTCTGATCAATCGTCATGACATTAACGCAAGGCTGTTGCAGTGCAAACCCTTTTGGCTGAGCCACTCAATAAATAATAGGATTTATTTACAGAAAAACAGACACCATGGATCTTTTCCAGTATAAGCTCCACAAGTCTTGAGTGGTTTGGTATAGTCACTATTTGTAGTAGCTTTCATGACCCCCTACCTGAGCCAGGGTTTGCTTCCCCACTCCACTTTAACTGGTGCAGTTGTTGAGAGGCTGGGGTGGCTTTGGTGGTAGAAAACATAGCAGTTGTGGTGTGAGGAGCAGGGATGGCTGGAATTAAGGGAGTGACAGTGTCTAGCCTCCTGGAGGTGTCGCAGGCCAAACTAGACGAAACACTGATCAAAGGAGGTTCCCACCTGATGACCCCAATGACATGCTGGTCAGTACTGGCCACTGGTTTCAATATGTCATAGTGCCATTCTTGAAATTAGCGAAATATTCACTAAGTCTGGTCCATTAGTTTGGAGCGCAAGTTTGTTGCATTTACTTTGAATTGTGATAAATGCTTTACGTATCGACTCACTGGTTTTGTAATGAATCTGCACTGTATTTCTACACTGCACTAAAAGTAAAAACATTTTTTTTTAAGTTTGAAAAGAAAGTTATTAGTTGTTTGTTGTTATACCCCGGCTAATATTTGAGCAGATCTATGCCCAAATGATTGAATTATTCCACCTCGTTTTCACACATGCAGAGTGTCCGTGTGGTAACACTGCCACTGTTTTCTGACTAACCGAGCTGGGAACACTCTGACCGCTCAGCTGAAGGTAAAACACTGACTACTCCTTCAGAAACTCACAGAAAAACAGCCTTTGGCCTCAAACTGACATTCCAGAGTCAAACAGATACGTTTTGTTTTCATTAGCAAACTTAGGGCTCCAACTTGCTGGAACACAGCATCACGCTTCCTATTAAACCTCAGCCCCTCTTTAATGGATGGCCTTTTATGAACACATTTTAGATTCAAACACGTTACTGAATAGATTGATATATATATATTTTTTGTTTGTTTGTTTTTACCCAGTCAGATTTCAGCATGGGCCACCCCCTCCTCAGCCCACTTGATCCACCTGGGCATCAGTCACCCCTTTGTGATGCGGAAAGGAAGCGGTTATACTTCAAGGTGAAAATGATTGTTTTTATCAGGGGAGCATGTTGGCCTTAAAAAGAGCAGAGGCTGCTGTAATGGCCACAGTCCCTCTAATCAGAGCGGTCTGTCCAAACCTTTGATGGAGTGTGACAAATATAGTGTTCACTTTCTGGTAAGCTTTTTCCTATGTGAATCAACAGTTTTTTTTTCTTTTCTAAACCCCATTTTTTACTGCCCGTTTCACCCCAGGATGTATATATGAAGGTGAAGCCGTACTGAAACAACACAGATGCAGAATATAAGGGCTTCTGACTGCCGTGAGGTCATGAGAGGTCATTAAAATACGAGAACATGTTCTTATAGGCATTCTCAGTCGTTTCCTTTCACTTCCCAGGCACACCGAGGCATTTCTTTTTCTTTACCTCTGAGTCATGAGGAAAGCTGTCACGCGCTGTTTGTTTTTGGCCTTTAGTGAGAGCAAATGTATGGTAAGAGCTGTGTAGTATTTATCATCTGACCAGCAGGCCTTGGCTCAACATTTGATCAAGTCTGTGCACTTTCTGAGAATTTAAAGCGCAGACCAGAGCAGGGAGGCATTTTGGTACATATGTTATCTGCCATCTGCAGGGTCCCAGTGCTCCCACGCCCCGACTGCAGTCAAATGTTTATCATCCACTTGTAAAAATATTGTTCTGAATAGATATTTTTTTTCATTGTCACCCTCACAGCCCTCTCTGTGTTGACTAGCTGGCGTGGATGAGTGGCAAGTATCTACTGAGTTCCGTAAAAAAACTGTAAAACCTGCACCCCTTTCTTGTTCTCTGGGTAATTTACCAGGTTTGCATGCCTTGTGCGATTCTGTTTTGTCGTTTTTTTTTGCGTTATACAATCCGACTCAGTTTCTTTTGGAAAAATCCTCTGATGAGATTTGAGTAAGCACCATTTAATCTCAAAACAAAAGCCAACAGTGTTTAAACTCAGCCAAAGCGCTGGAGCGACTTCACAGTCTTTAGCAAGAGAGCCACCGGGATCTTAAAGATGAACGCAAATGATAGTGTAACGTGAGTCACCGGCACGTAACCTGCGTGTGTTTGTGCACGGTTTTCGCCTATGAGGGGGTCTGACAAGGAGAGAGCGAGCGGGAGCAGGTGCAATAACACAGGGGGGTGGCAGAGAACACCAGGGCGGCCAAATGCAACAACCGCAGGTCACCTGGGATCACAGGCGAGCCGCTCTCCCACGCCTCCCCGCGCCAAACCACCCGCGGCTAATTATTGGAACCTCCTGTGCAGTTCTGCGACGCTCCCTCCAAACAAACTACCGGCGGCAGAACGCACCGTTTTGTAGTCCCTCCACCCGCGGTGGAAGTCCACAGAGCCGTTTCTTCTGTGCTGCAGCACAGTCCAGCCTCCGCCTCTTGTCTTCATGTCACAGAACACCTGAAGATGAGGAAAGCACAGTTGGAATCGTGTTGTATTTTTTTTTTTTGCCACGTGTGATTAAACGGCAACCAAAACTGCCGTCAGGTCATTCTGCTTTATCTAAATTGAGAAAATTAGACACCGTGTTATTTTTTTTGCCGCGCACATCATTTTCCTGTCATCAGGAGGACTGATTCAGAGTCTGTTTCAGTCCAGCTGGTGTACGTCAGTTTGCTGTTCTCCAGCAGCTGTTGATGGAAAGCGTTCACCACTGTCACAGACTGTTAAGCAGTACACATCTGAGCTTTTTTTTTTTTTTTTTTGCTCCCCCACACAGAGCAGCAGTCCGCTGTGCCTGAAATCTACCAGACTGGTACCAATTATGAAGTTTTATTTACATTGATCAGCCTTAATATCATAATTTTTCTATTGAAGTGTCAAACCTCACACGTGTAAACGGGGATTACCCACAGGCTACAGAACCAGATGATAAGGAAGAGGAAATAAAGCAGCTTGAAAAGACACAAAGGTAGCAAAACACACAGCCTGTTTTGTTATTTGAAGGCTGCCTTGGAAGCATCAGGAAAATGGGGGGTACGCTGCATTTTAGGGTGTCACACAATGATATGACCCAGGTGGGGAGGAAAAACTAACATCTCGGTATGTTCTGTTATCCCGTGAGTGGGGGTGGACGAGGAGGCTGCAGCGTTTTGGGTTACAACAGACTGTTTTCTTTCTTACTCCGTAAGACATGTTGCCATATGTAGATGTGTTGTGTGGAGGAACCAGTCATGGCTTTTATATCTTCACCTAAGACAAATGTTTAAGCCTAAACTTGCTGTGGGACTGAGGGGCTTTCAGGGTGTTTAACTGGACAATTTTCTATTCCCTTATACTGAAGTGATGAGAAGACAGGCTGAGTTTCTGCCTTTGGGGTTTGGAACATTATATCCCTTTTATTACTCGGGTCATTTTTAATTACACCTGTGCATTGAAGACAGCAGACACGGCTGTCGGTTTTCTCAGGCAATTTGTCTGAATCTTTTATCCGGTGTTGCCACCTCAAATTATAAGCATAATCGGTGAGGGCCGCAACCGAGAATGCTGATGATTATTTGATTAAAGACAATTGATTTTTCTGCCCCTCTCCTGAGCAGACCACCCCAAATGCGAGGAGCGGCCTATAGAGGTGCTGATGTGTCGACAGAATCTCAATGACTTGTGGTTTGGTAGGAATGGAATTAGGCTTTTCAGCAATTTCCCAGTGTGGAAGAACCGCATCAAGGTCAAAAGGCATTTTGTTCTTTTGTACGCTCAAAACAAAGCAGACTTGCACCGTGTCGTGATTATCCGCCGGCTCAGGAGCCAATTTTCTGGCCTCAAAGGCGAAATGTTACATACAAATCTGGGTATTGAAAAAGAAATCTCATTCCTAAATACAGTCATTTGTCTGATTAAACAAATTCATTCATATTTATTTCCCTGAGGGAGGCATTTTTGATTACAGTGAAGTTAAGAAAAGTTAAAGACACTTCTTAAAGATTTTTAAGAACTGTGGATGAATGACTCACAGTTTTTGTTCTCATGAAATCAGTTGCAAAGCTTTTCAGTACTTGTATGGCACCAGCTTTTTCATGCCATGTTTGTAAGTTTTCTGTCTTTAATTTCACAGTTAAGGGGTGTGTTGCAGTGACTGTTGCAAAGTCGAACATATCATGGTCAATAAATTGACTCCCCTCCCATGTCTGTTTGCTAGGACGAAGACAGTAGTCCAATTAAGCATCCTGGGGGAGCCGTAACCATAGCTCAACTTAAAAATGCACGCAAGCATCCTGAGTGTATTTAAGTTTAGGAGCCCTGCGCATATGTAACTCTCAAAAGAAAGCACACACATATCCTAAATCAAGCAGTATGAGAATAATTTACGGTCCACTTGTCTTAAAACCAAATATGCGTTTAAAATTAATGTGCTTGTGAGCCTTTTTTCTCTGTTTAATCGAAGGAAATGCTTAGAAATTCAGCCAGTTTGTGTCTGCTCCATTTTAAACAACTTCTCAGCTTTGCCAGCTGCACTGGAATTTAATGGCATGGATTGAAAGCAGTCATGATTTGGGGAGCACTAACTTGTACCAGTGGAAACGCACATTGGCCCCGGTTGGCAGGAAACACATGGCACCAGTGCCGAACACCTGGCTGCCTTGCCCACAGGAAATGAAGGGAAGGAGCTGGGGAAAACACAGGCAGGAGGAGATGCTGCCAACAGTAAACTAGACTGCAAGTAATGCATAACAAAAAGCTGTTTCATGCTTATCTTTTTGTTTTCCCCCTCTGTTAAGTTCTGGGATTCAGGATCCCGTCCAAGAAGACTAGATTTGATTCATAGAAATGATAGCCTGCTGGTGGATGGCATGGTGAGCAGGGGATTGGGGGGGGGCAGCTCCTTCAGATCAGAGCACGTACCTCCTAGGCTCGCTTGACTTTGCATTCAGCAGCACACACTCGCTCACCCAGAAGCCCGCAGGGCATAATTCTCCTTTTGCTTATTATTTCTGCTCTCTGTAAGACAGCATGGCATCTCCATCCAGCTCTGTACCAAAGCCTTTGCAAATAAGCATGAAATCGGAATAGCTTGTGCTTTCAATATTTATTGATTACCCCTCAGAGTTGCATTAGACCATAAGAGTGTGGGCACGCAGCTAGAGGTCACACAGACTGGAAAGCGCATGGTAAAACTTATTTTTCGTAGAACGTACTGGGAGACGAGGACAGCAAGCCTCACTAAACAGCCTCGCATTGGTGTCAGTTAGGTGATATTTGCAGGAAAAGGCCAGTGGCCTTTAGCGCGTGCACTCCCCGAGGTGCCGTGTTCTGGGTTTGGCTCTGAATCTGCTGCTGGCACCTTTGCCTGGAGGTTTCCTAAACATGGCACATTTATATAAAGGAGATAAGTTATTTATTACCATGCCTTAATAGATTCATTATTTGTCATGCATCGTTCCCCTCGTAACAAATTAGGTGGGCGTGCAGCTGTGGATTAGGTGAATTGATTCAATAACATCCGTGTCACTCATTCTTCGCTCCGACGCTGTCTCGTGTCCTCTCTAATTTGCAATTTCCATTAGACAGAGGTAAGATTTTCAGTTCGTGATGGAGTTTTCTGATCTCATTCTCGCCTGGTAATGAGAATAAAGAACTCTATTGTATTTCTGAACTCTCTTTAGAGCCTAGCAGCTGTCACTGATTGTATTAAGATGTTCAGGTAAGAGCTTCCCAAAGTAAAGAAAAGGTAGTCTCACAAGAAAAATGAAGGGTGTGTGTGTGTCTCTACCCCTGCAGCGAGCAGGGTTATGTGATTATGTTAATGTAGCCCCCGCCCCCACACCAGCCTGCCTCTCTCTGCCAGAGAACAGTTCTTACGGCGAGAAAGCTCGATGGCGAAGTTTTCCACCAAAGTATCAGGATCAGAATGATAAAGGATTGGCTTTTTTATCAGCCTCAGAATTATTTGAAATCATTATTAGAAATGTACCACTTTCTGCTACGGGAAACCGCCTGTCTAGCCTAGCCACACGGGCCCATTGTTCGAACCAGGCCAGGAGCAAGGAGTGCCGTTCTAGTTATTCAATTAAATTGAAATTACATTGCCTCCATATTAACTGTTTGTCGAGGCGCTTTCGCTGCAGACAGATGACAGCTTGAAGCATAAGTTAGTTGGCAAACACGTCGGAAGTTTAAGTGTAGCGGAGAGAAAGGTACGGCATGACTTTTTCAGAGGTTGCCAACGGTTGGTTTGGGTGTTGTACTTTGTAGCTGTGCGACAAGTAAAACAGGTCAATTCTCAGAAGAGAACATGGACAAGAGCTCAGAGCCAGCAGATAAACATCTGGGGTGCAGAGACGCTCCTGTTTCGGTGACATGTCCGGGGATGCACCATCTGTTGTTAATGAGCTCTGTAACCCTCCTGCTTCACCGTTGCATCTGTCTGCCCGTATAGTCTTAAATGTTGCCAAACGCATCACTCCTCCGAGGCTCTTCCGCTGAAATGTGACCTCTGCTGTTTACTTTGTGTTTTTTAAGTCGCTGTTGTTGCAGGCGAGATGCGAGTGGCTACGTGGAATTAATCGGTCCCTCTTAACCCATGCACGTTACCCACATTCTGCAAGTCGTCAGAGAGGATTCTTCCCCTGGAACATGTAACTAAACCTTTTGATGCTGCAGGTGGTGATGTGCACAAACATAACGCCCAGCCATAGCAACGAAGACTTGCTTGTTAGAAGGAAGCCTGCATTTGTATTTAATCTGCTCATCCCATCATGTATTGATTGACATTTAAACCAATAATATCTTACAAATTACTGCTTCCACAGCAAAAATGTACTCAGAACATTTTTTTTTTTGCCTTAAACTGAACAATTCTTCAAATTTGGAGCTGGGGTGGCGCTTTCATGTAAGCAAAACCATAGACATGTCATTACAAAGAAAGGAAAATGTTGGCCTAAACAAAAATGTTATTTTGCAGCCAATCTTTTTTTTTTATGTGGATCAATATTGCTATTTTGAATTCTGATGAGACTGCACTGCTGAGGCCGAGGGGCTAAAGCTTCACTACCTTGACATCCTGCGTGGAGTTGTGCAGGCGTATGCTGTACACGCCACTCTCTTTCACGCCAGATCGCAGGATCTCAGCACAGTCCCTGAAACTAAGTGGCTCCTTCTTGGGCGTATTGGAGATTTCTGAAGAGAAGTGAATGCATTTGTTAACAGATTAAAAGGTTATGGTACAGATTTTTCTATACATTTATATATACAGTATATATATATATATATATCAGTAATACTATTTCTCCTCTTGTATACATTTATGTCTCTTGTTTAGAATAACTGATTATGACAGTACAATTTGCTGATAAAAGCATACTAAACTCACTGATCCTTACCATTGCAGTGACTGACTTTACTCAGCAGCTGCTGGACGGTGTCTGTGAGCACAGCCTGCTGTCTCTGTAATGATGTGCTGTTGAGCGTGGAGCTTCCAAGTTCACCCTGAAGCCGACTGACCAGTCGACTCTGCCTCTCCAGAAGATCATGGAGCTGCTGTTTTTCACTTTCCAAGCCCTGCAGCTCCCTCCCATACCGAGCCTCCAGCGCTAAGAGCCTTTGTTCCAGAAAACTGAGGTGGGAACAAAAGGTCAAAAATTGTTTTTAATTTCTAAAATGCACCAAGAGGGGGGCGGATGAAAAAGAAAGAAGGAAAGAAAGTAAGTTTGACCACATACTTTTATACCAGTGTAAGATATTTATTACATTAGATACACAAAAGTGGATGCAGGTGCAGAAACTATCCATTCTGTATGTACTGTTCAGAGTAGATCAGTAGTCTCATTGGGTTAACATTATATACACACCTGGACCAGAACAGCACTCACAGATGGCTCAGCATGCTAAGACACTCAATCATAGCAAGAAGGCAACAACCTGATATTATGCATTTGTGTGTATGTTGGGTGGGTTGGTGGGTGGGGGGGTGGGGGGTCTGAAAGAGTGAGTACACCCCCATGTACAAATGAATGCCATAAATCCCTGCAGCTTGATTTTTACGGCTTTGACTAACGACGCTGCACCCGTAATTTATTGAAACAATCCACCCACCCAGTTTGAACAAGCTACTTCGGGGCTCTGTGCACATGCACTGACTAGGCTCAGGATGGGTCCTCATTGTCTCTCTTTAGCGAGCGGCTCAGCATGCGGCCCGGAAAGAAATGAGGGATTGATCCAAATCATGTGTTTACATCCCTTCTTTGTCGGAAAACACTCCATAAAAGTGGCAAGGCAAGCTAACGAATTGTTGTGTGTTTTACAAAGTAGAGAATATGGCACTAAACCAGTGCAGCTATGTTTAAACAGTTGGGGAGTTGACAGAAAAAATATGCCGCTTTGGATCGCATTGCACCCGGGCCATTTAAAGCGTTCTGCTTATCATGTTGTGCTATTTATGATCATTATTAGAATTCTTTGCTATTAGTCTGCTCTGTCTCTCTGCAGTGTGCTGTGCTTCCTGCCAGTGCTATTTTGCATGTAATGCCTGTAAAAACAAACATTTTCTCTCTGCCTCTTTTTTTAAAACTTGGCAGCAGTACAAAAACTTTCTCCATGCCCTTAAGGCACGGCAACTGTAGCCTCCTCCAACCAGTACAGCAGTCATTGTTTCCCTTTCTCTTCTCATCTTGCCCGGTTAAAAATACGCTGCAGCAATCCGGATTTGGTCAAACCTCACACACAGGCTATACCCTTGTCAGGATGGAATATTCTGTTTACATGTCAGAGCCGTGCTCCCGCCTTGAAAGAAGAGGGCTAAAGGGCAGAGCAGGGTAATGGGGGACCAAATGTGTACCAGGTGTTGATAGGGGGGTACCGCGGTCTCCCTCTGTCACACTTGGTACAGATGGATAGAATGATAAACAAACAAATACAAAGACTGAAAAAAAAACTCCCATTCACACTGTCCACGGCCCCAGTTTGTATCCCCCCTCTGGCCCTTACTTGACCCCCCTGTTCTAAGAGCAAACACTGGGAATACACTTCCTAACATTCACTGGCATACCCACAAAAACAAACATGCTTATTCAGAATGCAATATATTGTTCTTCAGCGCCCTGGTGTTTGGGGCTGCTTCACTTTTTTTTTTCATAGTTGTATCAGGAGGGGCATTTTTATGCATGCACATGAATATTTTTTAACAATCCTTTCTGTTCTCCTGTCCAATGTGAAATGACTTGCAGCTCGTGTCGTGAACAAGCAAAGCAATGAAAACGGCGCAACCCAAAGCAGGGGCCAAAAAAACACCCTAAAAAAGCAAAAGGTTTGACCCAGATGTAGGCAGGTGTTGTTCTTGGAGGCAAAAACAAAAGAGTACGGCAATAAAAGCACAATATGACCCAGTATGGTCCAAAATCAACCCTGTAATTAACCTTTACCCTAAGCTCTCTACTGGCACTTAAACTAACACGACAGCCCTAACAAGGAAGTGCTCTCCATCCCACACAGAGACTTTTGCTGTGCTCAAAGAAACAATTAGCTGGGTAGTCTTATTTTAGGTGTTTTTTACCTGTTTTTTTCACTGAGACGTGAGATCTCCTGAGTCTGCAGGAGAATATGTTTCTCCAGACGGTTTGTGAAGAGCGAGTACTCGAGCAGCTGGATCTCCAGGCGACTTGTCTGGTTTAACACCTATAGAATGATAAGAGCTAAAGAATGAGTCAATCAAATTCTGCGCACATGAAAGGGGGACCGAAAATTGAATCAAGGGATATGTTCCTAAAAAGGACCCTGGGGGATAAACACTGTCGCGCAACATATCACAAATCCCATAATTTGCCGTCTCTGATCTTGTAATCAAAATTCGAATTACATCATATGCACCTGTGACATGCTTTGAAGTTTCAGATGAAACGAAACTACTGGAAACAAAGCAGCTTGGATATTTTTACAGGTTGTAGCATTGTATTGACTTTGATAAGAGAAATAGAGAACATCAGGACCAAAACAGCCCAATCTGTAATAACAACTCTGTGGCATGATTGAAGACACATCTGTGTTGTGCTACTGAGGTTTATATTTTAATTGGCTTGTCGTCAAACACCACACTCATCTCGTTGTGTCAATCAGAGCCCATCGAACCAAATAGCAGCTGTTTTCAAGCAGCTGCCGCCACCTTTGGGCACAGCTTCTCAGCAGGTTGCACCTGATTTATGTTTAATTAGCTATTCACCATGTGCTTTACAAGTAGTGTCATTTGTTTTTGTATGGGTGTAACCCCTCCTCGGATGGACTCACCTGCGTCTCAACGTCTGTTAGCTTCCGGGTCTGCTCTGCCGACTGGCTGAGGAGATTGGTTCCCATTTCCAGCATGGCCGCTGTCTGGGTGTGCACAGCAGACCTCTTGATTTCCTCCATGCCAGAGCGTACATTCTCTTGTATGAAGTTCTCCAGCTGGAGAGACATCATGCAGACTTAAGATTTTTCTTAATATTTTTGCAGGATCTGTCCCTTTACATTCATTGACAGCAAATGTGAAAGGGCCTGATCAAGTAATCTGTCTTTATTCACCCCATTCTCTAGTCAACACTCTTTGACAAAAATGTAAGGTCTATAGTGTGTCCCCACTCATCTCTATTGATCGGCCTAGTCATACGCTGTCTCAGGCAAATACTGAGTCTCACATCAATGAATGGTGAAATTTATTTTAGTGGGTATTCGGAAAGGGCAGTCAGTGTATGCTGTTGAAGTGTGACAAGGGCCGAACTTCATAGTGGAATATTCTCATAGTAAATCATAAGCCTGGAGTAAGAGTCATGGGACAATAAAAAAAATATCTCACACAAAATTTGTGAACAGCGTGGGATTAATCCTCCCCAAATAAATTGATTTTATAATCATGTGAATGAAACTTCAAGTGGAAGAAGAGGTTATCCTTTACTGGGCATAAATGATATATACTTTTCCTTTTTGTAATAAAGCAAAGTGTTATATTGAAATGTAGATATTTATAACTCCTCTGAGGAGAGGAGAACCAACTTGATTCATTAAACCACACAACTGGAAAATGAAGTCTCAAAGGAAAAAGCACTCAAAGTCATCCTGCTAATGAGTTGCTATCCACAAGAACTGAGCAGAATTCAAATTAGACTACAATTGCTTTGTTTTTCTTCGAACATTTCAGAGTGAAATGGGGCAATGATGATGTTTTTCTCAAAAAATGATTTTCCTTTTTTTTTAATGAATTTCAAAAAATACTGAACCAATAGAGCTGAATCTCCAATTTGATAGTTTGCATTTTGGTAATCTTTTCTTTTTGTCTCATATCCTTTTGAACTTTATCCCCAACTACCATTTGAAAGTGTTCTCGTTTATTCTTGCTCTGTAATCATCTCACGCATATTGCTACTTCAGGACCACTGAGATGAGAGGAAAAAATCCTCACAAAACAAAGGTTATGAAGAGATTACTAAGCGGATTATAGCCATCTCCACAGGAAGAACCAATGATCTTTGCATCATAATCAGCTGGATGCATTCAAGCTGTTATCAGCTGCATAACCAGATAGTTCCAATTACAGTCTTTGTATTAAAGACCAATATAGAGGTCTCGATACGCTTTCATCTCGTCTTGCCTGGTATTAATCAAAGTTTTGTTACATGCTGCACCAGACAAATTAATCACTTTGTAATATAATTGTTTTATTGTCTCTAAGAACGTCAGTGAAAGAATCAGCCACTTGTGTTATCCATAGTGACAAAAGACACAAAATTTTTAGCAACAATTTTTTGTAAATGATACTGATTGGGATTAGGCACAAGATAAAAATAACTATAACATGAATTAATTTAATTGATAGGTAGATCAGACACTGCAATGTCCGTGATCGTCATTCAAAGCATTTTCTAAATGTGTTGTTTTTCTTTAGCTTAATGCTCTGTCATCACTTACCCTCCATAAACTAATCAAGAAGGCCAGCTCTTTCCTCAGCCACCCCTTCCACTTATTGCAGGTGGTGGGAGAGATGAGGATGATAACAGACCTGTGATTACTGATGGACAATGCCTTGTAGGTCCTTCCTCCCGGCTGCTGTCAAACTATTTAACAACCAGCACTGCCTTCAGTAGAAAAAACACACACTTAGGGACTGAATTAATGATCGACTATTGTTTTGTATCTAATTGTTGTCTTTTCTTTTGTGTTTTTTTCCCTTTATGCTTTTGCTCTTATATTATTATCATTGTTATTATATTACTACTCCCCTATTCAATCTACTGCTGCAACAATGTAAATTTTACCAGTGAAGGAACATTTTGTCTTAGTTAGATTTTCTTTATGTTGGTATCTTGAATGCCGTTGTCAAAAAAATCAAGTTGCTATTCAGCATGAATTAAAGTTTTTTGTAGTCCCAACAAGTTAACAAATTTTTTATAAATGCTTTGAGCAAATTAAGGAGATACTTTTTATTTTTAGCTGCCCCTTGTGTGTACCTGCTACGGTTAGCATGCTAACATGCAATGCTGAAAATGAGGAGTTTAATTATCAATGAAATATAATGTGCCTCCAAATAACGGTCTTTGTTGAACATCCCCATTCAACAAAATTAGATGATATGTGCATAATTCATAAAATTGTTTGCGCTAGCTAAAACAAAGGAAATGCTTGAAACATCATTGTGCTAATTCCACAGAATTCAGACTGCTGACCCAAGCAGCACGAACAGAGCGTATTTAGCTGTTAACTTGCTGTTGTGGATCACTGTTTCTTCTATGAATGACTTTCAGAAAGAATTGATCTTTTCATTGATGTTCTTTTTTCTTTTTTTTGCCACATTATTGCAGTCAGCACTGTTATACTTCTAATAGCATGCAGTTAGCCAACTGTAAAGACATGGGGATAGCATCTCTTTCTAAGGATGTGCTTCAACAGCTTTTCTAGTATTATATGAAACCTATCCCAAAGCTAATTAACCATTGTACTGGCCAGCATAACATAAGCTCATCGATTTTTCAGTTTCCAAAGTTTATTGTTCACATACCCCAGTGCTGGTGTACCGAAATATGGTGAACATGAGTAGCCCTGCTTCTTTGATCTCTGTGTAGTCTCTCTCAAATAGCTTAATCCACACAGCCCCTTAGAAGTTCTAACAAACACCCAAAACATCCTATTTTTTTTTTTAGCTCAGGGCAGCAGAAGGCCAAAAGGGCATGATGCGAAGGGAGGATTATATTTGGTTTAGCCCTAAAGAAAATTAACACTGGTCTTTTCTTGGAAGCGACAGACAAAGAAACCATCACTCCTTGGAGATTCCACTGCAGAACATGGTGGTTTATTGTAGGCGCTCCTAATTCTGTATGTGTGGGGGTGTGTTTCCTTTCAAAGGGTTCGGATTGGAAGGCTCTCATAGAGAGGGTCGTGGCGTCCCAGGGGATCTTTGAGTGAGACCGTGCAAAGTTTCACATAGACACCAACACCCACATGCCTGAAGCTCTTCCACATGCACATCACCCATTTCTCCAAACCCCTCATGCAGATAAGCTTAATGAGCTCCACAAGGTGCTGAAAGGGCTCTGCCGTCTGTGGTCAAAGGTCTGTATACCCTCGTGCATAACTAAAAGAGTCGCTCTAGGGTCAGGCTGTGTTTATGTGGAAATCCCACCTACAGTGCGATCATTTATACATCACTTTTGCCTGGTGGGGGTTACTTGTTGAAATGTTGGATCTTTGTGTTCATTCCAGACAATATGTGGAAGGAGCTGGCAACGGAGCAAGATGTGTATCAGAGGAGATTTTCTCTAGATGAGGGGGATTTCAACTGCATCTCTGTCACAGCGGCTTATAAAGCAAATTACTTAAGGCATATTTTAATCAACATCTCTGCAAATGTGTCAGGGTTTGCCAAGTGGCTTATTTTCAACTGTTTGGTCAAAGGCTTTTAAAAAAAAAAAATGCAGCAAGGCGCATGTAATGTAAAGCTGTGCACTAATACGCAGGACGAGTTCAACATGTCATCAGAACTGTCCACTTTATCTTTCCATTATGCATGTGCAAATAGTTACACAGGAATATGTGTCTTCTTCTTTAACCACAGATACACCTGGTGTGACCGTATCAGTCGACGCTCAATCCAAATAGCCTCAGCGTTTGTCTTGAGGGCATGTCAAACGAGGTGATTTGAGCGGGATAGATAAATACTTTGACCGGGTCGCTCGATTGGACTTCACCTGAGTGGTTCACAACGTGGGAGATTTAAATTACATGGAGGCTCACAACGCACATGGAGAAGTTGTGGCGAGGGTGAGTGAGAGAGTTGTGGCCGAAGCATTTTAAGAGCTTTGACATTCGTAATTGCCCATTCTGAAATCCTGAATTATAATCGGCATGTTTACTGTCAGTCGGCCAATCTCAAGCCTTGACACAAACATTTATAATCATCCAGGGATTAGCATGGGCCATAAATATTCTGAGTAAGACGCTGACAAGAACTGGGAGACGGGTGGAGAGGGGTGACATGTCAGTTAGTGGCTGCGAGACAATGGCCTAACACTGATTCTGTGCCCGGATGACCTTAGCTGTTGAAACTCTATTGTTGAGCCATTTCTAATCGCATCATTTCATGTTTGGCGCTCTTGAGCTGCACTGAATAGAACCGCAAAGGCCAAGTGTTGAGTAAAGAGACATGCACCAATGTGTCAACCTCAGATAAACAGTTTTTCGCTAAAAAATGTTTTTTTTTATGTAAGCTGAGTTTTGTTGCAAAGAGATTTGGGCCATCTTTGGCCTTTAATTTGACTAAAACATGGTTTGAGTCATTTGGAGGGTTTAAACCGTGCAAGACATATTTGGCTCAAGCTATCTTCGGCAAACTTAGCAAAACTCCATTTGCATGCAACAGGGAGTGCTAGCATCCCACTGGACTTAAGTACTGACACACACGCATAGACCAGGCATTAATATGTATACAGGAAGCATCCAGGAAATCCAAGCTAGGTGCTGAACTTAGGCCTGTCGACAAAAATGATTAGATTGTGCAGATCCACTGCTTTGTTTTACAGTATTCTAAGCTCTGCAGGCCACAGAGATATTTGAAAAGCAAAAGAGGAAGACGGTTTGACATGAGAAGGTCTGGAGAGCTTACCTTCTGCAGCCACTGAGTGTTGTTCTCCATGGCACTCTCCAAACTCTCCAACTTCCTCTCGTTCCATGAAGGCCTCTCCTTGGATTCTGTGGCATCAGGCTCGGCCTCGGTCGGGGAATCCCTCTGCAGGGTGTTGGTGACTTGGAAGTCCTTCGCAGGATGGCAGTGCTCCGCCTCCGGGAGGATGAAGGTGTAGCTGCAGGAGCCGTGCTGCACGCGGTGCTGCTGGCGCTGGGAGCCAATCACAGCGGCCAGCAGGTAGGCCAGGTAGGTGAGGGTCGGGGCCAACAGTCGGCCCATGTTAGGGGGAAAAGGTGGGGAGGGAGATGGATGGAGGGAGGGAGGAGAGGGAAAGAAGTAGGTTGCTCCACCTAGACAAGTGGCTCAGGTGGGGTTCTTTTTTAGTTATTTGTATCTTTCAATTATTTTGCCAAGATTTCCTTCGAGACACCAATTCAGACCGCTACTTCCCTTCCTGTCTTCTCTGTCCAAGTCCTGGTGCTCCACTCTCTGTTTTATTAATCTAACTTTTCCTCTTTTGGCTAGTCGTCCTCTTTGCTGTTGCATCCAAAATCTTCTCTAGCCCAATTTGTGCTCCCGCTGTTTTGCACGAGGGCGGACAAAAAAAAACACACACACACACAGGAAAAAAAAAGGGGGGATTGTTTCCTTTGGTAACTCCAACACTCACCCAGCGCATGTAGCTCTGCCCAGGAAGCCAGCGGCAGATTTCCCAAACATTTGTGCCTCTTCTGAAAAGTTTTATCCCCTCACTGCTCTCTGTGCATGCTGCGGGAGCCCATGCGTTGGTCTGGAGGAGAGGGGAGCGAAGGGGTGGAGTGGTGAGTGGCCTGCTTCAGGATGTTGGCTGAAGCTGTAAAGCTCTTCAAGGAGAGAGAGAGAGAGAGTGAGGAAGAGAGAGAGAGAGAGAGAGAGAGAGAGAGTGGGGTAGGGGGGTGGGGGAGAGAAAGCGTGGCGTGTGTCCTAATGTACACACAAGCACACACACCTCCTTAGCACATAATCACTCAACCACCCTTCCCTTTTTTACTTTCTCCCTCTCCCGCACAGCCCTCCTGTTTGCAGGGGTTAGAAGAGGAAGCTACAGAAACACACACTGGCAACAGTTAAATTAGGAACTATTCTCTGAGAACTTTTTTTTCCCCCTTCCCTTTCACTCCCTTGTCTGCGTCTCTACCTCAAATCTAAATTTGGTCCACTGGCACACCGGCCATAATTGAATACTGTCCTGTTGAAACACCTGAACTGTCAAATAGAGGCATGTCAGTTACTCCCAGTTTTAGATTTTTTGGTATTCGATCAATGCAATGATAAGCAGCCGCTCTGTTTGCAGAATACGGATCGATAACAATTTGTCCTAGAGTGCTGCAGGGGAGTGTTTTACCTTCTGCTGTTGTCTGAGCTGACAGCGTCTGCTTTGTCTGGTTCTTAGCCGCCTGATACCAGAGGCTGGTTTATTGTTACAGGCTGAATTTTGGAATGGGAAGAGGGGGAAGAGCTCCGGTGAGATTTATGCGCCGAGGGCATACAAACCTCTAAGTGGGCTGTTGACTTATGTTTGAGAACTGCTGTCAACTACCGTCGGTAGAAAACTTTGCACTTTATTGGCCACAGATGCAGGGATTGACCACATCGGCTGTGCGGAAACGGCTTTTCCACAGAATTAAATAGCAAGGCTGGGTAGTCAGGGCCAGGAAGGTGGCGAAACAAGGCTCTCTTGAAAAAACAAAAACAAAAAAAAATGTGCTTACTGGTTTAAGATATGAGTTTAGTGAAAAAATATAAGGCTGCAGATAGCGGGCAATGTTTGCTTTTCACCTTCAAATAATAACAAATGAATGCAACAGGAGGATGAGCATTTTTCTATAAAGTAGAAGGTCAGTGTTTGGATTTTCAACTTTCAGAGCTCACATAGTCATTGGACAAGGCACTCTACTCCAATTTGACTTGAATATGTTCACTGACTTGAGAGAATGTGTCTATGACAATGAAATTTCACACAAATTTCTTTTAGAACTCATCAAGACTAAAATGCGAGAGACAAACCAAGATTTTTGGAGTATTCCTCCTAAGAATCCCTTTTATGTGGTACTAAGTGTAGACAGGAGAAAGTAATTGGATTTCTTTCTTTTTTGTCCCTGGCCATTTTTCTGTAATTGTCTATTTAACATCTGAACATGTGTTCAACTTGTGTTGAGTGACTTCCAAATTTCTTGTCTCAGAGGCATCTATGTAGCTTTATTTATTTATTTATTAATTATTTTTTTACCATAAAGCAACTAACCAACAGGCCAAGTAACTAAGTGACACTAGAATATCTTTCTTTGAGAATAATGATTGGTTGGATAATGTTTTTATGTACTTCTTTATTTGTCTTTTTAGAAGAATGCCAGCATGCTCGTCAGAAGGAACCAATCTAACTCACACCATAATAACTCCTTTGAATTTTTCACGATTTCAAGCAAGAATTTATAGTTTGGTTTAAATTGGAGTCCATCACACCGTGTTGTGTTTGGGAACCAGGGCCAAGCAGTTGTCAGTGGTATTGAACCTAAAGGCTTTCCCCCACTGTCTTCACATCTGGTGTGTTGAGGCTAGTTGGTTCAGAGTACCTGAAAGTACCTTTAAAATATGATCTAAAACAGACATTGGTGTATGAGTAAGACTGGTCATTTGTGTTGTGCACACTACAACTCAGACCGAATAGCGTCTTCATATTGGGGAGTTTTTTTTTTAAGGCATTCTCACATTGTAATTGGAGATTTTATCAATTGATTACAGAAGCCAAAATAAACACCAACGACACTCCAATTTCTATAAATCTTAATTATCTTTCCAGAGATGGCTATATGATAGTTTGGCCCAGTGCTGTTTCACTGTACATTGATCTTAATGGCCCTAAAAGCAGACATTGAACTATTTTAAATTATTATTCACAGATTTTTTCTTTATTCTACAGGGCTCTCTCTTGCCTATTCGAGCCTCCTGATCCCTTTTCCATTTCCACTGTCTACACAATTATTCATATCGCTGCTATTTTCTGAAGCATCATAAATGCCGTCCCAGCTGCAACTCCTGCTGGGCTATAAAAGATTCAATCTAAACCGCGGCTCGCATCATCCAGTTAGCAATAGCCTGAATGTTCGCAGCAGGGCACCAAAACTCACTGGCAACACATCCTGTTTCTCTTTGATACTTTCCTGTTACTGTGATCAAGCAGAACAGGCTGGAACAGGCAAAACAAAACTCCCAAAGGATAACAGGGGAGGAAACTGCCCCTTCACACGTTTGACACGAATGCTATTTATTAGCTTCCTGTGATCAATACTCCCGAAGAGGCGCAAACCAATATTAGACTTTCAAATTCAACCTTTCATTTCCTTCTCGTTTTGGCCTTTTTTTTGCCCCCCCCTCGAAAGTGTATAGTGTAAAAGCTTTAATCTTGCATATACTTTTTTGTGCTCTGCAGACTCTGTACCCTCATCTCCCAAACACGATGAGCATTCCACACTGCCACTGTTGTGTGGACGCTTAATGACCCAGCAGCTTAAAAGCCCAGTGTGTGGCCACATCACTCAGCATACCAATGACTCAGATCTATAGCTGTACGCGTCAACACATATCTGCCCCGGCCGCGCACGCTCTCTGGAAACGGCGCCCACCTTTCAGACGCGGATTGATTGCTTATCAGAAGGAAATTAACTTCACCGCACAGAAGGCGGATGCTGATTTCATATGCAGAGCTGTCAGTGTGAGCTTCTCCTGTGGAAACTAAGAAAAACAAAGAGTGTTTCACTTCATTTTCAAACTATTGGCATGACTTCTTTTCAATCTGGGCCTCCTCTCCGGTGCACTTTGGTGAGGCATCAAATTGGCGTGCGTAGATGAAATTAAATGATTTCCATCCCCTCTTCACCAGAGGAAGAATATCCTGCAGTTTCTCCTCTTGCCATTGATAATAATCAGATGTCACCTCGTGATCAGCACTGCCCCCAAACTGCAGAACTCAGGAGCCATGGACAGAATACAGTTTCCCACCAAGATGATTTATACAGGCCTACGAGCATGCTGTTGTTTTTCCTTCTTTTTATGTGTGAAACTTTTTACAAATGAGTTGATATTGCAAATGTGCTGGATAACAGCAGGCAGCAGAGTAATGATCTCGTGCAAACGCACCAACGCTGTATAATCCACATGGAAAACTCTCAGAGGTGCTCCCCTTGTGGCCTCCTTCTGCAGAAGTTCACATTCTACCTCGCTTAGTTTTTCATTTAGAGAAAAGAGAAAGACGGGATTAGATCTTTTCAGCAGGGGACGGGACCGAGCAGAAATAAAGTGTTTATCAATTAAAGCGAGCCGCGACCTATACCGTTATGCATGCTGGTGATGAAAAGAAAACCCGTTCAGGTCTGTTGTGTGTCCAGATTTACGCTATGTGTCATCCGACTGTTTCCAGTGTTTGGCCAGAGCACCAGAGTAAATATTTAATATTAACAATCTGTTTTCAGTTACGCAACAGGATATGAGATAGAGTAAAAAAGTGGTCGTTGGTGCTTGTTGGGAAGAGCTTGAGTGCTCTCCAGTATTCTTTCAGAAAACAAATATCAGCTCATAAACTATGTCCTCCTCTAAAACACAGCGTGTATACATTTTTCAGCCGCAGCATGAAAATCCTCTCCCTAATATTGTTGGAGTCTCCGTGGTTCCGTCGAAACGGCTCCTTCTGGCTTGTTCTGCGGCAACATGAAAGAGAGGGGAAACGTAAGAATATAACTCTCGGATGGTTTCCCAGCAGAGCGCTGCCTAGTTTCACGATCAGTGTTGCTCACTTCACCTGTCAGTGGCTATAGCCGCTGTAATGTTGTGGCCGGTGGGCGGAGTGTAACAAATAATTGATGTCAATGATGCGAGGCACACTGTTGGGGTACGCATGCAGCAGTCATGTGTGAGACACCTCAATGCTGTTAACATAATTGTAACTTCCGCAGAAAAAAGACCCGCCATATTTTCATGTCGGTCGTCTGCTTCATTTTTAGATTTGTTCAGGAGGATTCGGAATCCCGAGAAGCGTCTCACATAGAAGGTTAAATGCTGTGTTTATTGAGCTGCGCATTGCAAACACGAACACATTTTCTGCCATATAAAAAGAAGCTCGGTGTGAAAAGAAATTGCCGGGGGCCTGTAATTCATAGCTTTCTGCAGTTAAGTGCACTCCCACGGGAGCGCTGGTTGTTTAGTTTAGGGTCTCCTGTCAGGCCGAGGTATTTCCCGCGGTTCCCCAAAGGCCCTGAATCAATCCGCCTGGTGGATTTGAAGGTGACATTCAGCCTCCCCTCCCCTCTCTTTTGGGTCCTAGTGACTGGGTTTCATCACCAAGCCTCCACCCCTAGGACCAATGAAAGGGACACAAATAAAAGGAAAACCCACTGCTATCATTTTAAGTTATATGATGTCATAAATGGGAAAAAACATACATAAAAAGGGATTAAAAAAAAAAAAGAAAGACATAAACATACATTTTTTGTACAAAGTTTAGACACATTTTCTCTGATGAAAGCCATCCCCATTGATTTTGTTGTTTTAGTGGAGTGGTGGGGAGTATCCACCCTGTGGTACTGCCTCGCGCCGTGGGACCCATCACTCCACACAGCAGTCGAAACCTTCCTCCTGGGCAGGGTGGAAAGACCAGAGAGAGAACAGAACGGTCCCAGATTCCCCTTTAAAATTTCCTAGTTTTAAAAGCCTGTGTGAAACACTGAGCAACCCCCCCCCCCCCTCCCCATCCATCCGCCTTCATCTATTCTGGCTCACAGATACCCATCTGTTTAAAATCTGGCT